CCCCAAAACCCCAAAACCCCGCCATAGCAAGTGGTGACTAATTTTTGAGTAACAAAATAATTTGAATTTAAAATGATAGGAGCTTCATAGATGCCTCAAATCATCAATTTATCATAATAACAAGTATAGGCTCCCTTAGGGATGAATATTTAACATATTCCAATGGAGTAATTACTTTAAGTCTAAAATCCATAGCTCTCTCAACTATAAATGACTTTCTAGGGAGGCCTACCCTCTTAAATAGAAAGTGACTTAGGAACTTAAAATTTGCTACCATTGCCAGGTGGAAGCTAAGTGCCCGATTCAGCAGTCACTAATGGAAACTTAACTTAATTACTAGAGACTTTTGTTTAATAATAATAATTACCCCCTCATTAGCCAGTACCAGACGATGAATTTAGAGTAATTACAACTGAATCGCCAGAATATAAGGCATTTATTAAGAAACTCAAAGAAAATAATGAGTCAAAGCAAAAACTCTCTGTTTGCTTAATATGCTGGGGCTTCATAACATTCTATCAAAGAAGGATACACGTATAGCACTCGCATTATACAGTCACTCCAATGTATTTCAAGGATGAAAAATCATTTATTAACCTAGCTAAAAGATATGATAAGTACTTAGAGTAACCAGATGGAAAAATTATTGTAGGAATATTTGCAGAGTAATGCTAAAATATCAATTAGTCATTTACAGCTGGTCCATCAAGAGGATTTGGATTTGGATAGTCAAACGTAAGATAAGGAGGCAATTCTGGAAATTAAGCGATTTCGGATATTTGAGAAGTTAGCACCAAGCAAAATAACTAGGAATCATAAATTAAAAGACTAAATACTATAATTACAGCCCTCTATGAGGAATGCAAAGTTAAGGAGTAGAGGATTACTGATTTAGAAGAGTAAATGGTATAAATGCAATAACTGGTATGTGGATAACCTCAAACAGCTTATGGAGCATTTGCTGTCAAACCTCCTAAAGTTTAAAATAGAATCAATATTAGTACTTAAGAACATTCAAAAGGCAAAGGAGATATAGGAAGCAGTACTTAAAGCAATCTAGCCCATTTACTGGATAAAGATCATGTAAATTGAGAGATTCTATAAATTTTATTCATATTTATAGAGCAAATCTTATCTGAAAATTATTTATTAATTACTGTAAAACTCGAATATTTATCGCGTGGGGTTTTGGGGTTTTGGGGTTTTGGGG